GATAAGTGATGAAAATAACTGGTTAAATGGAAGGTAGACGTGATAGACAAAAAGACAAAAAGACAAAAGACGTGATAATCTTTGGTCAGTAATGTTTTCTACATTTCACTCAGTAAGTCTTGCAACAATCGCTATCATCTTTGTCTGCTGAGTGAGTATAACAACCAACTGTATTCAAACAAACGAGTATAAGGTGATCAATTTTAAGTAGTACTGGTAATGCATAGGGTTATGGAATGAAGATTAATAAATGTAACCGGAATCGATAATGAATTGAGGGCATTTCTTTTGCTAGGCAATACTTATTCACAGCAATTGCAGATTGGTCAATAATATCTCCTACATCTCACTTAATATGTTTTTCAAAATTAACACACATCTGTGTATGCTTAGTTGGTTCAACAACCAATTTTATTCATATGAACGAGCAAAACGTGATCAATCCTAAACATTATTAGTAATGGAAATAGTTGTATTCAAGCGATACTGAAATGACGATCACTAAATGTAACAGAAATTAAAGGTTTTACTGCTGAACGTTTGATTAGTTTCGGTCCAAGAAAATAGCATGATCTTCTCCATATATTGGTTAATTTGGTAATATGTTTATCAATGAAATATTCAGATAAAACTTCACGAAATTGCATTGATGAGGTGAGGGAAAATTTTCGATGGGTGTTTGAACGACATCTTGAAAATCTTGGTGTAGATGGGGATACGGAAATGAAAGTGAGTTGAATAAACGATAATATGGTGCTTCAAATTTACGATTGTTTTGAGTTATTAAACTGAGTTGTTTTACACTACACTATTGAGAACAGTATAAGTAGGTAGTTTGGGCAGAAATTCTTTCGATTAATAAAATGGTAGGATGATGAGGGTTACAGCTTTAGAATTGTACTGTTCCCACATATACTCGATTTGACTATCTACGATTCATTTATGTGTTGATCTGTGTGATAACACTGGAGATGGATTCTGTTTTCGACTTTTCGAAACTGATAACTTTCCTAATAATATTTAAATTATTATTGGCGATTTATTTCATTCAAGCAGTCTACTTGATCAGTTTCACATTTTATGTTGAATAGGTTCGTGAAATGTTAAGTGACTTGAAGAAAGCACTGAATCAATCAATGTCATCAAAATCATGGCTTAGTGAACAAGACAAAAGTAGAGTTCTTGAATCGGTTTGTCTCATTTCGATAAATTATCTTCGCATTAACTCAATGCATTATTTAGGTTGAAGACATTAGTGTGTCAACATATTATTTAAAAAATTTCTTTGAAAATGTCATCAAATCACCGAAGTTCCAAATTGAAGTGAGTTTTACAAGTTAAACATTATTCATTATTCGGCAAATCAAATGACGCGTGAATTCACCAACAAAGTGATTCATTATTTATAGATAACGAAATTTATCTTTGAAATCAATCGCTCTATTGTATGACCTGCTAATTGGTGTATACTCGACTATGGCCTGATTAACTTGATTTAGAGATAGATTCAGTAGGACGATGTGACTGAGCCGGTCGAAATCATGGGTGATAAAATTCCTGACAGTTCTCTTCATTGAATAATTTAAATAATCATGAAAATACTTTGTAAAATCGTTTCATTTTCTTTGTCAGGAAAAAATGTCAGAAGGTAACTACTTCATGAATGTCTACATCTCTCAAAAAATAAACTACCTTGATTCGATATACAGACTCAGATTGATAGGATATTAGTAAGTTATTTTTTCGATAATTTTTGTCAACCATCATGAATAAACCTTGTGTTAAAAGGACATATGGAGCTGTCCGTAATATTTAAAATGTTAATTTTGAAACAAGCATTAAAAGTAGGTGATCTGTCACGGTGTTCTCTTCTCACAAAACAAGGTTTTATGAATTAGAGGATAGAAATGTTCGTCTGATAATTGTCATCAATCGTAAAAAAAACATTATATATAGAATACACCTTACCTTAGAAGTCATTCGAATCAAATTCGTTGATGCTCTAATTTAGGTTTAACAAACGAAATACTCAAATATGTATAATCACTTTAAGTTATCTGATCAAATCACAAAACAAATGAATAAATTGATGTTAGATAACAGAGTACAGTAGCTCGTGTATTTGAAGTAATTTACATATTTTACCGTAATGTACACTGTAAATGAGATGTATCAATGTACATTTATATGACAAAAGAACAGCAACATGAAGAAGATTGTGACAGAAGTCAACACTATTATTATTCTATTCATCTGACATTAAATCTTCAGTATTTGATGATCATTTTGAACTGTGTACACTATGTTGATATCTAGGATATTGTTTCTTCTAATAATATTTTATTGCGGCATTGCAGTCATCCTGAATACAGTCACATGTTATCTAGAGATGAGTTAATGGTGACCTTGTGCTTTCATTGAGTCGCTGATGATAACTGTGATCGAACGATTGTGAATCAACTTCTGCGTCACGCAATTTAAATGTTTAAGACTGGAACATTCAATAACTGAACATCATTAGATGTGTGTTTTCTATTTAAAAATACTTGAAACCTAAATTTTTCAGTATTGAACAAACTCAACGTGGATATGTGCAATATCCTGAAATTTATGCGTCTGCTGCGTTATTACACCCATCATTTCTGAGTAAATCATATTCAGTATCTCACAAATACGGAATTCTCGGTTGGCTGATCGGTCGTAAACTAATATCTGAAGGTAACATTCACCGTATTTTTCTTTGCGTAATCTTATAGAATGTAAAACTGAATATTTTGAATTGATTGCGAACAGTCGAGACTTGCTTATCTGATCCCATTATCAAGTGACTAACTAACTTGTATTGATTGTGTGTATGTCAGAACACTCTGCTTAATTACGTAATCTATCTAAACTGAAGCACGTGTTATTTGACAGTATACAGTCAATAGGAACTTGGGTGTTGCTATCAATTTCTTTATTCTGAATTACCCATCAGATAGTAAAACAGAACGAGTGAAAATCTGTCATTCTTGTATACTTCTCTGACCATTCACATTAGTTAGTCAGTTGAACTTAAGGACGAATAAAATATGCATATTTTGTATCACAACAGATCAGTTGAAATTGAAATATTGTTGATCACTCTGTGAACTCGAAAGCTTTAATCACATTGAATGAAAATCGATTTTGAAAACCCGAAATAAATGTAGTCAATGGATTTGAAATATGATTAACATTGCTTCGTATTATGAAACAGTCAAAATTACACAGATTCAAAGCAAAGGTACTATTTGCTTTTCCCTATTAAAATCTGTGAAACATGAATCAAGAAGTGTGTTGTTATTGAGTTAGTTGGGCATTGAAATCTAACGGACATGCAGGAATTCTTCACTATGAACGTTATCCTAATAACTACACATGTGCGTTGTGCAATTGTAACCTGTAAAGCAGTTATGAATTTCAACAGTCACTTTGTGTTCATTCCCGAAATATATGCGTTAGTTAAATGACGAGTGCATTACAGCTTTTACAGATGATCAGTTTGATGTAGATGACGATTCTCAGTCAACTTGCGTACGAGGAAATCCGTCACGGATTAAAAATCAAGCGTGTTGTTTATCAAGACAAAATCACGTTCATTTGGCTGGGAAGAAGAAGGTGAGTGGTCTATAAATAGAGCATTTTGCTTGCATAGCTTGACTTTTGCACAGTTTTCAGTATCTCACTTGTAAGACTTGCTTTCAACGTGTAAAATTCAAGATGGCATGTTCATAAAAAGTCGCATTTATTCGAGCAATGGCACATCTTATATAAATAAGACAACGATTTCCATCTGTACATGGATTGTGAATTTGGATGTACGTTGTTGACGAGTCCAGGTAAATAATAACATCAGCACTGCGTATTGATATCAATGGTTTGCTAGAAATCTCTTGACAGAAACAAAGTATGAAAGTTGACTCAGTCATTTCATTTGGGAAGAGAAACATTAGACAATTTGCTCCATCTAATTGTCACTGCTGTTTTCACTTATTCTGATAAGATTAACAATAAGAGAGTTATTATTTGGAACCGTTTAGGTTGTTTTCGGTATTTGAAGGTGGTTGGTTACTATATCTTGATTTGACTTCACCATTCCGAAAAATAGATTATTTTTACTATGGTAAAATCTGCAAACCAACATATAATCTATTCGATATGCTGGTTGGACATGGAAAGCCTGACAAATTCATTCTAACATGAATGTAATCAGGTCTCAATAAAGCGGTAATTTGACATCTAGTTCTGTCATAAATTGAATAGTTATTCAATATACGGTCAACTGTGAATCAGACTACATGAAACTTAGTGAATTTCCAGAAATGTCAACTACAAGGCAATCTTTGCAGTAACCCTGTGGCATTTCAATTTCCATTCATCATCTGTTTACCAATGTACGTTTTGTGAATTTGTAAATTAATTGCATATTGGACTTTGATGCAGTCACGCTTACTTCGCAAAGTTCGTTAAATGAACAAAACATGCTCCACATGATAATATCTGTGGTGTAACTCGTCGAATTTCTATATATGTCATTCAAACCAGACGAATCCATTTGGTTTAGCTCAGGTTTCAAATAGTGCGACATGACATAAGTAATAATCAAACTGCTATTTTGATTGGCATTAACTACATTTCATGTTGTCTCAATATTTCTCATATCAACTAGGATTTGAAGCAGATGGCGGTTGATATCAATAGTCTTATGTTATCGTTTTCAGTAAGTTAACTTAGTTAGGATTCCATCTATTTTATTGCATAACAATTAAGAAATTTAGTGAATTCATGCTTTGAAAATTTGTGTTTTTTGTTGTCATTTCTCAAGTGCTTCAGTTGACTTTTAACAGCGGTAAAAAGCTAAGATTTCAAATCAACGTGATCAATGAATCAGCGTTACTTTGGAAACAGTCAGATTTCTCGTTCAGTCGGGCAGCGCACAAGTGACTGTCATCATATCCGCTGCCTACAGTAATCACAATATGAATAAAAGTCATCTTTATTTAGAAATAAATGGTAAATTTCTGTTATTCGAACAGCAGAAACTGTCAAACCTCAATAAAACTGCAATCACATTACTGACACAACTGTTTCAGTGTAAATTATTGCCTAATGATGTATTGTTGAAGACATATTCAAAATTGAAGTATGTAGTAGAGCAATCATTTCGATACAGTAATCTTTATTGCTGATTGTCTATCATATTTTTTAGATATACAAGAGAGATGCTATAAGTAATCATGATGATATTTTGGAGAAGAAGAAATTTTTTGAATCATTCGCTGAAGTAAGTTATAAACACTGACTGATTTTTCATTTGAACAAGACTCTCTCGGGGTTCATTCATTCTATAAACTACTGTTTATGACCACCATTGTCGAGCATTAGACTAGTGAGCTAACAATGCAACCATGTTGTGAAACAACAGTTTGCCAACAAGTTAGCAAAATAGATAGATGTGATGAATTTTTCGAAAAGTAAAATAATGAAATTTCAAATAATTAGTAGCTACGAGTCAGTAATTTGTAAAAAAGATTCCATTGTCATTGTGAATAGAATAGGTATTCATCTGTAAAAGATTACCATCCAGTATGTGAAGTGAAAACATGTGTAAAACGAGAAAGGTAAACACTTGCTATCAAAAAGCAGATATATTTCGAATTACAATTTCTTCATGCATAGCACATTAGTTTGTCAACATATATGCAACATCATGAAGAACTCAATTGGATTTGCTAATTTGCAGTCTGATTCAGTTAAGTGGATAACAGTTGAGAAGTAATTCAATGTGTCGACATCACATTTATCAATGACCTCACGATATAAAAGAGAGCGGTTTGAAGCAGCTTCTCGAAATTGTCAACATTACACACAATCCAGTTTCTACAAAAAACATTGGTAAATTTGACTGAGTTGTTATTCTAATGCATCACTTGACGTTACGTGATCCTCTTCAATTTCATCTATTTCTTTTATAATTGAAGATGATGTGTGATGGCTACGCTCATGAATTGATGCGTTACAAGACACAGTCATCTCATCAAAAATATAAATTCAGGTATTCACTTTGTAAATCCTTATGTTTCTTTGGATGTGTATTCATGTTATTTGTTTGACATACTGATCACTATTCGTCGACGGTTACATGTATCAACACTGCACACATAATATTTTTTTCGGATTTATAACGCAGTAAGGTCCATATTACAAACATCCACATTTGAACCATGAAGACAAAATTATATTTGTAATTGTGAGCGTCGATTAAAACACATATAAATGTTCAGATTAAAGTTGCATACGTCAACATTGTTGCAGTAAATATGGCCAACAATCTTCTAGCGCAATTGTGGATGAAGTATGATAACGGCTGATCATATTGTCGCATTAGAGATTACTCATTTTAAAATTAATTTTTTCTGTTTTCAGTGTCAATGAAATTTTGAAACACAGTGAGGAATTTTACGAAACATACAAATGTCCTCGAGGGTCGAAAATGAATCCGGAAGATAAATGCACACTTTGAAGAAACTTAATGATTGTGTGTTTAACAATATTTATATGTGCTTATCCATGATTTTATGTCTGAATTAGTTGTGTAGTTGACCATATTTTTGAATAATAAACTTTTCTAATGTAACCAGTGGGATTGAGTATTTTTCATTGTAACGTAGCGATGGATTGATTCAAACAAAGCCTTTGTACAGTCAAACAATATTTTCCATACATATGAAGAGGGTATTTTGATATACTCCTACTCCAATTATAAACTATTTTGAATACAATGAATAATTGCTGACTTGATGTGATATAGCTTCATTTTAGGGACTTCCTAATTTTAAAGCTTCTTGTGACTACACTTTTATGAGGGAAACGCGATCGGTAAAATAAAAGCATTTAATATTAGAACCAATCGTACTAGTGATTGTTTTACTGAACTCCTTTTTTATTTGTACTCTGTACGCAAACTTTCCGTTAGTTTCGTTGACATCCGAATCACACTGCTCGTGACTTCATCAAACAATATCAACTGAAACAATCAACAGAAGCAAAATCAAGTGCAGTAACCAACAAACGGATCATTCTATCATATAGTTATAAGACATATCGGCAAAAGCAGACGGACTACTGGAAACACCTTGAATCGGTGAAGCATACCATCAAACAGAATCACTTCAATCAGTCCTATGTAAACCAAAGGAAAAAGTGATAAAAGAAAAAAAAACCAAATATCATATGCAAATAAAACTTCTCAGACTGTAAAATGCGCTACATTGGATAAAGAGAACATCAATACGCAGTTAAACGCCATACTTTTGCTATTCTTGCATCAATACATACGTACAACTATAGACATTCATTCGATTGAAACAATGTTAAAATACTGGATAGATGAAGTACTAAGTATGGTGGATAATTTTTAGGTGCTTGACACTCTGGTAAACGGATGAGCTAAAATCTCATCGACATTGACTCGATTCATCAAACAATCAGAAAAATCTTAGGAAAACAAAAGATCCAGAAACAGATCAATGAGGAGTACAGTCAAAATAAAGGTGAAGACAATGGCATGTTTAAAGTCAGTAACATGCAATCAGGATCGAGGTCAACAGGACAAGCTCCGAACCATACGTGGAGAAATTTTATTACTCCACATCTTCCACCTTACGTTTGCGCTGATATTACTTTTCAGAAGAACAAGGAAATATTCACAACATGAACAGCTCAGGGAATGGAACTTCATTGCAAACATCCTCTTGGGGTACGAATTTTCTCCACCATCTTAGTAGCTGACTTAACATTTCACTGTGTAAACACTAATATGGTGCTTTAGGTCTAACGACTAGGACCAAATTCTGCATTTGTTAATTCCATTTACTCTAAGACGTATGCGAATCAACCCACAAGCATTATAGCCGACGACGCACAAATAACAAACAATATGAGGTTCTCGAGAAACAACTATTCATAGTGAAATAAAAAACTAATACCGCATAGTGCAATCACAAGAAATTGAGTTTCTGATAACTGTAATGGTGATATGTAATGCAGATAAAGGACAATAATTGTATAGGATAACAAAGGGATTATGAACGCCAAATGTTGATAATAATATATTCGGAAATAGAAGAATTATTTTCGTTATGAAATTAGGTTACATGATTTCTCAGTCTTCTTAATTCTGACGCTCTTTTGATGTGGTTTTCTCACATAGGTAAAAAGAACAACCATACATCACTTTAGGCATAAGTTGCATTCGTGATAGCAAATCGGAAGAGGAGTATGACTGGAAACATCAACAAATCACATCACTTACAATAATAAATAATATAAACATTCAGGATGTATGGAAAGATGAGTTAACGCATCATCATCACGTCCGTCGATTCCCAGACAAAATAACTCAGGTGTATAATAGGTTACCAGGATTATCACGACATGCCTTACCAGGTATTGGATTCCTTGTTCAACGATTCTAGCAAATGATCAAGTAATCTCACGAACTGACGAACAGTCGTTTCAGATAATTGCTGAAACATATTTATGTATTTTGACAAAGAAATGAATCCAACACTGCATTCTGCTGTGATTCAAACAGTTTAAGTTAACTTCACTTTGCCTGTTTCCGCTAGCAAACATAATAATATCGGAGGTGCAGTTTGTAGTCAGGGATATGTAAGCAAGTAGAACATCAATGTTGTGCGACATATACATAAATGAAGAAGATAGAATGAAATAAAATCTTCCATGTTTGTCGGCGCTTAAAATAATCTTTATTAGCACATACTTCACAAGTTTTGACTTCATATTACCGGCGTTGCGATCACGAGGTTTGCCTAAGTAAAATATACGGAAATTGATTAGGAGGTTTATTTCATTGCACACTCATTCAGTTATAAATATTGAAGTCATATCATAGGCCAAAAAGTGCCTCACAGTCTTCTAAGTTTCTGTTCCATACAAAAAAACGGTTTTCACGATTGTTCTAAGCGTTCTGACTTTTGTATTGGATGACTGTTGCTTTGAGTCTTAGACAAGTATCAATGCGTTCCTTATCTATGTCTTTAGATTTTTGTTGTAGTGCCTTTACATATGTATGCTAGTTCACCTACATTTAATTTGGTTCAGCCTTTTCGATTAATTTATTTACCAGGGCTAATTGTATTGCGACAATTTATATGTACCGTTCGTTCTTTTTATTATCTGGTTTGTATGAGCTCACATGACGCGTCCCACTTGTCATTTGACCTTACCAACTATTCGCGGCTTTTATTCATGTGTGCCTTTTTCACTGGTCGCATGTCTGTCTTGCATTTGTCGGACTATATATTCTGAGTCACGGTCTATCGCTTTGGAGTTGGCTCAACAGCCTTCTCCAATTCACGTTGCTTCTTTCCTTTTATTCGCTGCTTCTTCGATTCGCTTTGTGATGTGTCCCAAATAAACGTATTTATCACGACAATTTCACCCTCTGATTTATAAACCGACAGACGCTATTTAGTAACGTTTGTTTAAATGAGCTAATCACCAAGCATAAGAACACGCAGTTAATTGACCCACTACAGTATTAGATCCACTTTGTTTATCGATGATGTTGTGCATACATGAACAGAGTTCCAGTGTTTCTTTGTCAAGTGTGATTTGGTTGATGCGTGATGCAGTCTATCGAAAGAACCTAGCATTTCCGTTTGTGTTTGTTGAGACTTACCTTGCTTAGAAGGGTTACAGATATAGAAAGATATCTTCAACTAGATTTTACTCTATCTGGTTTAACATACATAAATAAATTTTTCTTATTTTTGACATTGTTATTTAGAAACGTTTTATTTCAAATGCATAAGAGATGAAATAATGACGCAGAATAACTCATTATTATGGTTCCGAAATGTTTTCAGTATGCTCTCAAGTAATGTTGGAAACACAAAACAATTTATTAAGTAAATTTTGAAGAGTTAGAGAAGGTAAATAAGTTAATATTTACTGCATGAAATAGTTATCACGCTTTCATCAGGTAATCGTATATTCTCTTTTGCGTTTACATAACCACTGAAAAAAGATTATTTGACGCAAGATCATGCTCACTTTAGTTTCAAACTGTCTTCAACTGTAGAAAACTGACAGTTATCTGATTAACCTATGCTGTCACATATGACGCAGTAGTTCCATGTTTATCAGTAGTGCTGAGCAGATACGTGGAGCCACCCGACTTCTCCACTGCCTTATCCTCACGATTCGATTGGTTGATGCTGTATGGTTTTCACTT